CTGTTGTAAGTTCTTGTCAAAGCGCAGTTTTTCAGCCACCGACACCTGAATGCTTAGCGACAATCTGCTATACGAGTGGTACTACTGGCCGTCCAAAGGGAGTCATGCTTTCACACGAAAACATCGTTTCGGACAGTTCAGTGATGCACATTTTCCAGAACGTAGTCATTGCGCCGTCAGATATTGCCATCTCGTATCTGCCCCTTGCCCACATGTTCGAGCGGGTCCTAGAGGTAAGCAGTCGAGTTCAAAGGAAATCGTGAAGCGATTTCGGCAGAAACGCTGTAATCACTGTTTCTAGAATTGCATATTTATGGTCGGTGGTCAAGTCGGCTACTATAGTGGTGACATCAAGCAGCTGATGGACGACATCAAATGTCTTCAGCCGACGTTGCTTCCGCTGGTGCCACGTGTTATTAACCGCATTTACGACAAGGTGTTAATGGAGGTTAGCAAAAGTGGTCTCAAGAAGTTTCTCTTCGACTGGGCGATCAGTTCAAAGATGCAGGATCTGAAGAGGTCGGTAGAAGATGACGGCCATGAACTGATAATCACGTTTGTTGTTTCAGGGGCATAGTTCGCACGGACACCATCTGGGATAAGATCATCTTTCGAAAAGTCCGCGAAGGACTTGGTGGTCGTGTTCGTTTTGCGCTCACCGGAAGCGCACCAACTTCCTCCGATGTACTGACTTTTATTCGGGTATCTCTTGGGTGTGTAGTGCTTGAGGGTTACGGTCAGACAGAGTGCGTCGCCGCTGCATCTGTGACACTAGAAGGCGACCATTCGACTGGTAAGATTTTGCGGTATTGATATGCAAGTTACAATTGTAAACCTTCACGATTGAGGATAATCAATTTTAGTTCATCTAGGTACTTACCACTTTGTAATAGACCGAATTAGATCCATGCGGTACTTGGCACTGCTGACCAATGTAATATACATGACTAGTACGCCATAATATTATATGCACATTTTAATAACATTTTAAATTCTGACTACTACGAGGATTTACTCGGTCAAAGTGCACTGTTCCCTTGCTTCTAGTCGCAAAGGGGCACCATTTAGGTAGGTCATTGCTCAGCGATATTTGAACACCTTCCTGCGGATAATGGCAGATTTATTTGGTGCTGGAATGCACCGTTGTTCAGTCCTGCTCACTCCTGCGTGGCCTTGTTTTATGGTCTATCAAAGCGCTTAGAAGTAAAAGAAAATGCTCTTATGCCATATACATTCGGTATCAGAAATTTTAATGTGAACTTGTTGTTCACAAGTTGTCGATAAAAACTCATGTTTTAAGGTTACCGTTTGCTTGCAGAAAATAAGTAATTCTGTTAGTCTTTTAGGTCACGTTGGCACTCCGATTCCGTGCAACAAAATGAAACTTGTAGATGTACCGGAAATGAACTACTATTCAAGAAATGGGTGTGGCGAAATATGCATATGGGGGCAAAACGTTTTTCTTGGTTACTTCAAAGACCCGGAAAAGACTGCCGAAGTGCTCGACTCTGACGGGTGGCTGCACACAGGGGACATCGGCGAATGGACGTCTAACGGAGCTTTAAAGTTGATCGACAGAAAAAAGCACATATTCAAGTTATCTCAGGTGAATGAAAATATATTTCAAACTATTTTAAATTTAGTCTTCTTTAATCGACTAAACGTATTCGGATAAAAACTTTAAACAAAGAGTCAGGATACAGGATGAAATAATCATTTTATTTTCACAGTAGTCCACCATTCTCCGGTTCTCTAAACTTACTCTGTTTTTTGTCGCTTATGCTCTAGAAAGAGAGGATCCTTTGGACAGGAAAGAAAGGAAAGTTTGTAACCGTTTGAATGTCGGTCGTATATTTTTAAAGGCAGAGCCGACAACAGTTGTGTTGCAAACGTAGAGTGTAGTCCCACACAATGCTGTTGATGATTTATCAACCTCACCAAAAAGAAATGCGAGTGAGCTGACCAAACGGAAACTTTACTAACAGATCGTTTGAATGTCTTCTCATAGTTGAGTTACAGGCATCATGGAATCTCAGGGAACTTGTTTCCACGTCAGTGATATTTTTCTTCTGATTTCTGTTCAGAAACATTCATCAGTGGTCCTTTGGAACGAAACGTTTCTTTGCAACCACCAAGAGCTTGACTAGTGTCAAAACATTTCAGACTCTACTTTACAGTTTTTGTCGTACTCTTATAAATTTTTTTCTGCGCTGTCGGCAAAATATGATTACTAGCAGCGGCAAACAGTAGCATAAGTTGACTTAAACCGTCCTTCTTGTCAATCAACACAACGTTTATTATGATGTCAGGCAGGGCTATATTTCTGTTCAAATGAAATATACCAATTTTGTTGCTTCTCTTGCCTTTTACCAGTGCTTCAAGTATCATCTTGCAAGCAGTTTCTGGCAGAGCCATATCGCTTACTCGACTACTCCTGATTTTGTAACTTCTGGGCTTTTGGCAATCACAAACGCTATAAGTCACTGTTCGGCGTCTTCCTTCGTTTGGCATGCGCTGCTCTTATGCATCATGCCCACCGGAATTTAGTGGCTGATACTGGACGTTGCCCATTGTCTTATATTCACTGACTGCGCCTGCCCAGACATTTTCGTTTATTTAGGTCCATACTTTTTTCTACGCGTACAAAGTCGCTTTACTTGTATTTCGTTGTCCACTGAGTTGTTCATATGTTTTATATACATGTCCAATGTTCATATACATTAGTGTAAATACATTTTCAGCTTATGTTTAAATCTTACTGGACTACCTCACCTGTCCTGAATCGTGACCCGATAGGATAACCTCTCGTCGAAAGTTAGTCTGCAGATGACGAATGCAATCCAGAAATAACTAAGTCATACTGTTTGACAGAATCTTTACAACCTGAGAGGATCAGTAAAAACAACAAAACAAGAAGCGAAAACGCACTTTTTAAAACATTTCTGCACCTTCTAGCAGGCTACGCAGCCAGGTCATAAACATACAGCTGCTAGCGCTTGGTGATCTGAAAATACTTTGAGGAAGGTTTGCGATATCTATCCTCTCACTACCCGTAGACCATAATCTAAGAATCTAATCCGATGTGGTAGACAAGGAACAAATTGGACATAAACAAGAACCATACCGGTCAGGTCAGACATACGTAATCACAGCAGCGCTGTAATTAAGTCTCATGATCATCTATGAAAACTTATCTTTTGCCATCTAAGCAACTCGAAGATCTTTAATAACGTTGTTCTTGCTCATCATTTGATGTTACTGTACGGTACAAAGAAATGTTGAGTTCATGCTTGTTGCGTAGGGTGAATACATTGCACCGGAAAAGATAGAAAACGTCTACCTGAAGAGCAGGTTCGTGACGCAGCTTTACGTGCATGGCGAAAGTCTGAAGTCATGTCTGGTTGCGGTAGTCGTGCCAGATGCCGAGGTGCTGCAGAAATACTGCTCGAAGGACGACTCGTTGAAAAACCTGCGGTTCGACCAGTTGTGTCGAAACGAGGTATCGCGAATTCGTTCGTTCATTTATTTTCTGTAATTATAACGTTTCTGTTTTTAAGACTGTTAAAAGAGTCATCTTTAACGACATGATTGCAGAAGGTAAAAAAGGAAAGCTGTTTTCTTTCGAACAGGTTAGTTAGTTTTTTCGCATCACGTTAATAACTTAAATAAGATATACTTATTTTTGATTCTTTGCCCTTAATTTGGGGGTAGCAATGGATGTACCACTTTTGATTCTAACACTGTCACGAATTCGTAAGATTGATTCAAATGTTACATACGGATGAGCAACCCGTAAAATTTCTCTCATAATGGTCTTTCATTATTATCGTGATGACAGTGGTTACAAGAAAAGATTACAGAATTCTATTTAGCACAAAAAGGAGAGCCTCATGCATTTTGTTAAAGTTGTTACTGTAATAAACGTATGTTGAATTACAACAAACATTTACGCAGTTATTTCAGGTCAAGGATATATACCTTCACCCGGAACCGTTCAGTATCGAGAATAATCTGTTGACGCCAACACTGAAAGCTAAACGTCCCGCGTTGAAGGAGTACTTCAAGCAGCAGATTGCTCAAATGTACGTGGCACTCAGCTGACTGACTGACAGACGAACGCAGGGGGACGCAAGCGAATACCGCTGATCGATCTCGTTGCACATGTTGTTCTTTGCTGAATTTGTCAAAGTTTCGTATCATTATGTAATTCCACCGATCAGTGATCAGTCGTTCATCGCTTTTCAGAGCCAGAAGATGAAGCAGGCCTGGTCCCGGAATTGTTTTCTCTATCGATCACATGCTGCTACTTCTCCAAGACCTGTTTTTTTTCATTTTTGAAACTGTGGCTGCTAAATGCTTGTCACTGGGGCTATCTTTTCATACCAGAAAATGAGTGACAAGCAGTCACGATCATTTACCATGGGCTGCACTGATTTTGAGTTGACTTCTGTTCGTAAAGTTGTTGACGTCGTGCCACTTCATATAAAATAGTTTCACATAGTAAATTTCGACTTTCTGTAGCAATTATAGTCAGAAGTACCAAGCTGGCTAACAACGAACGTCAGTTTTTGATTGTGATTTCTTAGAAACAGTAGCAGTTGGAAGCATCACTTCGAATAACACTTGTTGACAGCTTCTAACCATCGTTAACAGCTATCTGTTGTGAAGACATAATAAGCCGATTCATGATTTCTCCGTCCGTCGCTTCTTCTTATGCAATAAACAAAAGGCCATCAAATGGAAGAGGTTGTAACAATCTTTAATTTTATGATTTTCAATTCGTTCTCCAATAATTTATAGTCATCTTGCACTAGTCTTGCGGAATACTCCAGAATACGTTTTGATTTCAGACACAAAATTTACAACTTTCCTTGATCACAAGACTAGGATACTAGTCGTAATGTACTACTGATAACTGTAAATTGATGTTTGGGAATTCACCGTCATTTCCTGGAGGTTCGTGGGGTTCGGTCCAATCTGTTGACGGCGGTTCGATAGCATCAAACATTAAGCCATTCAAATAAACGACACCAGGTTACTACAAGCGACAGTTTTCGGTTCACTACACTATAATGCTGCATTCGTCGATATCACTAAATTCTAGATATTCCAGATATCTGCTTTCCTTTGCTGCGGGTTACATTTTTGTTAGAGCTACTACGAATAAATGGATTACACATCTAATAGACCAGCCTTAGCACGTTAGGTTCAGAAGCACAGCAGAAGATCTGATGTTTCTCACCAACACTATGAGATTTGTTTATTCTGGATAACGAACAAGTCTTGGTAACTGCGTCTGCTGGAAATAATCACCGCAGACAGTTTGGTAGATGTATTACCTGTATCTCAAATCTACAATGTAACCTGCTGGGTACAGAAGTTGTTTGGCATGATTTTGACCATTAACTTCATACTTAAACATTACGTTAAATGCTACCAGTATAACGTCAGATAACAATATAAAATAAACGAAATGCACGCTATATTCCAGCATTTCTGCATCAAACTGGGTCCGACTGGCAGAGAACATATCTACTATGAAGTACTCTGTAAAGAAAGTCTAACCGATAGAAATATTTGTTAGTGATATACTTAGCTGTCCCAAGCCAACTGCTGTATTGTACTGCCTTACAACCATTAAAATACTACAAATCAGTTTCCTTAAACCTTCTTCGGTAGATCATGCATATGAAAACAAAGCCAAACGATCGTCTATATATAAGACTATTTTAAGTGGGTGTGGTGCAGCTTAAATTCAGTCGTACTAAAATTCATTTGGACATCCTTAGCAAACTGACAAACTGCAGATTCGACTGAAACGAGTCAAATGTTCACTGCTCCTACAGTCACAGTACGAAGGTAGCCGAAATCACATTCTACAGACTGTTATTTTATACTTCCATATGGTCACTCGGTCTATTCCCCATGGCAAGTAAATGATAAATGATACAGAACCAAGACCGAGAACACTTGCTTGGAACCGACGTATATTGGATAAAAATAAGGCACTCTGACTAATGACACTGAAACCGAAACCTATATACCACAAATAGCGCCAATTCGAGAAGTGCAAGAGGAAACTTTTCCGGTGAGACATCAGTTAATCACTCTGTCTACATGTTTAACTAGACAAGACGGTCCACAGTTCGATCTCACAAGAGTGTCTGCATGATCGACTATTAAACGGATGAAATGCTGTGCCATTTAATACTGAAAAATAGTCGTGAATCAACACAATGTATCTGTTCGCATCCTCTTCTGACCCCATCATTATACTCTGCTGCTACTTTAATGCAACCTGACATAAAAATGTAATTACCGATTAAACAATGTTCTTTTCGCCCAATTTCCCCCGAACTGCACGTCGGTCTTCTTTCGCCTCAGTCAATAAGCCGTTATCTGCTGTTTATCTATAGACATCACCTGATAAAAGGAGTCACGCTTATCAAAATTAAGATGATGCAGAGCTGGTCAACAATCTTTTAGGCACAGCTAAACCAGCTATCAACGTCCATGGACAACTGCATATTTTCGCTGTAATAACTTTAAACTACTAATTTATCTATAATGAATCATGAGAACAATCGACTTTCAAATGCACTGCAGAAAAATTGCTGGAGTAAATTCTATAAATTATAAAACACCAATTAACATTACAAAGTAATTAATTTCAGCTAGAGATAAAGCTGAACAGTCACCGTAGCGTCTATGAAAATGCTTCAAGTACTAACTGGCTTTTGCTGATTAGGTTCCCAGCCAAGTACTTTCGTGCGGGTTGTACTGTATGGTATGTACTTTTCCGGCGTACCGCTGTGATTTTCCTCGTGTGTCATCATCCAATCACGTCTTATAGGTGGCTTTTCGCTCGGCGGAGTTTCGGTCGTGTGATGCATCCATAGATGCCTAAGGCAAAAAATAATGCTTATTAACAAATTAAGCAGAAACTTATTTGTTTCAGTCAATATCGGAAATTTCTAAACTGGTTGCAAAGTAACTGTCATATTAGCTGTTGCAAACTGAAGAAAGAAAGTTAACACAGAAGGAGAATAACAAATTGTCAAAAGAAATTAACAATTTCTTCAATTTAATGAAAGTGTGCCGCTGGTTTCGAGCATGATAGTTTTCAAACCATTTCGCAAAAATGACCGGCTTCTGAGGGGCCATATAACAACAACCTCAAGGCCAGTAATGCCCTGGTGAACGTTTCAGTTTAGTCTCACAATAAACAAATGGACCCAGAAGTTACAGGATTAGTGATACGGTAGAATTACACATACGATTCCATCGCAATGGTTCGACCTCATGAAACAAACGCTCTGACCTTAGCCAAGAGCGAGTTAATGACTTTCAAATCAAACAGTATGCCAACAGGGATAGTAATGGACCAACTAACTCATCGTTACAGTAACACAACCAAACTTAAACTACATTTTAAAAAGCTCTACGGCACGTCGGTGAATGACGACATAAAATAACGCCGGTGATAATCAGTCAGTGCATATCAAACATGTGGTGGAAAACAAAACGGAAGATGAGAATCTAATCAATCTTTCAAGTATTACAACGGAGAGAGAAAGAAAATTAGAAAGTATCAGCAGAAAGACTTTACTAGTAGAGTCCGATATCTTCATGGGGCGGCTGACGTTGTCGCTGAGTTTATCGATAATTGTTTAGCTGGCTACATATTTTATTGATAAATAGGTTGTTGGTTGGGTTCAGATGCAAATGCATAACAAAGTATTGTAAACTCTGGTATGACACAAAGAGAACATCACTTGGTCCAGCTGTTCGCATAAGTTATCGCTTCACCGTTCATTTCTCAGTTGGTCGACTCAATAGAATGGAGAAAGTAATGTTTATCGAAAATAGAAGTACGCAAACAATAATTACGGCTATAATTCGAACAAGCACCAATGGTACGTAATGTTTTCTGAATGACTCTTCACTCCATCACCGTATTCCTTAGACTACTCAACATCCCTTAAAAACAGTGGTATGCATGGAGACTGAAGAAACTCAAATTCCAGACTAAGAAATAGTCGCAGATGGAAATCGAGGTTGAGTTCATGATAATTATCATGATTTCTTACAACCAGTCACAGAAATCCGTTAGAGAGAATTTGAGTGACAACAACTTTGGCATATTGTAACGTAGGGAGATTAATGTCATAAATGGCAATATTCACACAAATGAGCCCACAACTTCAAACAAGAGTAATTTGCAGACATGGATGCAAAAAATGTTGATTTCGATGATTCGGCCTGAAAGCAAAGACCTACTTCACAGAAATAATACTAATTATAATAATATGAACAGGTGTACTACAAAGCGAAATGAAAAAAAGATCAACAGACAAAAATGGCGAAAATGAACTGGTTAGGGGACCAAGAAAAAAAATACGATGCCTAAAAATGATTCCATTAATAAAAATGGGCACGGTTTAGGGTCTAAAGATTAAGCGAGAGATAATATTTAGGATATAGTAATCAAGACTGCGTAGAAGTTGACCGTGCTGCTGCAATTCTTTACTACTAAAGAAAATGCGCAAGGACTCTTTAACATGTAACCGTAATTAATGACTGAATTTCAACAAAAAAGGTATCAAAAACAGCACCTACCATTCGGGAGGAATCTGCGATGCGTCGTAGTCCAGCCACACCTTGTTAGAGTATATCACCCATCTGTCACGTCCGTAGAAATAGCCTGGATTTTCGAAATACCGATTACCGAACTCGTCCGTTCCGACCAGACGACCCTTCTTTAAGGTGTCGATGCTGAAAATGTGCGTTTTACAGTAATCAGAAGCAATTCGGGTCCATGCATCGCTCACCGATAGAGCATTCGTAAACTGCGCCAGACTCCGCCGTTGTGTCGCACGATGGCATACGCCTTGAAAATCTTGTCGATGGAAAAAAATTTCACCAAATCCATCCTGCTAACTCTGACATACAAGCCATAGACAACTTTCGCGATAATGAACAAACGGTCAAGAAGTAATCACAAGACGTGATTATGACGTTTTCGTGAAAAAACGCGTTAAGAAGAATGAAAAAATTTATTATTCACTGGAGAGAAAAACAACTTCTCATTACAAAAAACATCATACTAACATTATTCGAATTATAAATGACACATAACCGTTATGTAGAAGACGTCATGCTGGTTACTTCTTCAGACGCTGCACGATGAGGCTATTCAGCAGGTTCGCCTCGGCCAGCGTTGCATGTTCGTCCTCTATCTCTCTGCTCGGATAACTGGTCATAAAATAAAAAGGCTGCAAGGCATATTCAGGTCGAGATCTGAAAAATTTAATTTAATGCATTTAAATTCACAAAATACGCTTTTTCAGAACTTTAAAAAAGCGTTCTAGCAGCCAAGCAGGATAGCAAGACGTTTTCAGCGAATCAGCTCGTTGGTAGCTTGTAGTATATCACGTTGGCAACTTTCGCCTCTATTGCAACTCAATATTCTGGAGCAAGGAAACGGTAAACATTCACTTTCCATCGTGTAAACTTGAAGTTGGCCATGATTTATTACTACAATCATGAAGGCCGTCTAAACTGACTGCAAAAACGCCATCACTGATATCCTCGAAGTGCGATCGGTCACGAACTAGCGGATTTTGACGACCACAATTTAAGAAAACCATCAGATGAAGTCAGAGATCTGCGCTTAACTCGGTTTGATAAAGCGGCCCAAAAACAGTGGAAACACATTCAAAACATTTCTCGCTTAGGAACCGTGCACTGGCCACAGATGCGTTGGAAGATAATGAAAACCGTAAAAGCACTTCGTTGAAACAAACACGATAGCAACAAAAATATGACTCTCGCCGCAGCAGTGAAGGTTGCCTAATATCCCAAGTATAATTTCTACTATTCAAACAATATAAATTTGGGTTACTGTGCTGTTTAAGTTGTTAGTCTTAGATGACGATGACAAAACAACGTCAGCACGAATACTATAGCCAAGATCTTCTGCCAGAGCACGATTCTGGCGATAAACAAATCATCCTTGTGCAGCACATCAACTGACCGGATGCCCGATGGTAACACTAGTCACGTATACACCAATGCATTCAGTGTAAATTCTGCAAATGAAACTGGTTAGCGGCATTCAAAACTTTGGAAAACATTTATAAGCCCATCTACTTTTATCTTATAGAATCAGGCATTAAAATGCAGTGAAACCAAAGGAATACGATTACCGCCGTCTGAAACGTCCATGCAATGTCACAAGTTTCCATGGCTCTAGAGGACTTAACAATATTCATTTTGTTTATTTTAGAATATAATATCGTACGAACTTGTAGCCGCGGCTTCAAGCCTCTCCATCGGACGTACAGACAAAACGGCTCTGCCGAAAAAAGAAAAGGAAAGTTTGTAACAGTCGCAAAGGTGGTCTTCCCTACACTTTCATGATCGAGCCATCCTGGTGGAATTCTTTTAATGAAGCTGATGGTGCGATGCTTTGCTAATCTCCGTTTCTATGTCGTCAGTTAGGAATGCAGTATTTTAAAGACAAGGTCTACAGGCACGTGATCAACGCAGCGTGAATTCTTTCATTTCCTTGGAAGGAAAAAACACGTGTGACCCTGTCCTGGGCAAGAATCTGCGCCCTATCCGCCCTGAGCCTAATGAAGTAGCGACTAGATACCATCTGTCTAAAGCCACGTGTTGTCAATTCCAAGAGCATTTGTGAATGAGACAAAGATCAAGCAGAATCGAACTCAGCACACTCCAGTGGTTGAAAGCAGACCTGCTAAGCACTGTGCCTAGCCGCAACACATGGGCTCACCAGGCTGTTCTATCAATCAGACGAGAGAGATACTTCATTAGAAGGAACCAGATTTCTGGATATAATAAGACTAATCCTGACCAAGTGCGACACATCTGTAACCTATATGAGAGCAATAAAACGCTTACTCGCAGACGAAGCTCCGGATATCAGAAATCGTATGGCTATGGTTCAGATGTAATACTAGACGACTGCCATCAACAAGTCGAACGGTGACATTGGTTGTCGGTACGCCTGGAT